CCTGGCGCGATATGGTTCATGGGGTCACGAAGAGTCAGACACGACTTAACAACTGAACAATAACAAAAGAATGTGGAGGGGGAGAAGGATATACAGTCAAATAAATATCTGAATTAATTAATTATTTGTTACAATTTCAGAGCAAAATCAACCTCCAAGTGGTTATGAATGTTCAGACACTGAATGACATTAGGAACTAGGCATGTTTTAGAGGATAAATTGGACCCACTACAGCATGGAAAGACAGAGGAAGAGTACACAAATATTGGGCTATATATCAGATCATGTTGACTTCACTGATAATTAGCAAATTTTGTGTACATGAAACATTCCATTTGTATGATAAAACAGTCCTCACAAAACATATATATGCATCACATCCGTAAGTGTACTTACTTTAAAATAATTGTTCAGCTCATCTGAAAGAAACTGATAAAATGTCTCTTTTTCTGTGTGATCAACCAGACGGTCATGAAAAACTCGAGTAGATTCATGTATAAAGAACAATGCTGTTGTTTCTTTTGAAACAATGATTGACTTATGGGCTTGAAGTAGTCCTTCAAGTACCTACAGCATTGATTTTAAGAGAGATTAACTTTTTGTACTGAAGCTATATTCACATTTCTATTGAAGTAACTAAAACTTTTAAACTATCTTCTGTATTGATTTAGTTTTACATCATACTATGCTGATCCATTGTTGCTTTAGGTATTTTACAATGGTGCTTAATAACCCTGAAAGGTGGGGTATCCATGTCAGAGGTAAATAAAAGAAACAATGATTTCCATTTTCAGATGACAGAATTATCTTTCAAAAGAAATTTCAATCCAGGAGTATTGACAATATAAATCTAAGCCACATCAATACATTCAGAATAAATCTTAGTGATACCAACACCTTAGTACAAGCAATAAAGTCCAATTATTTTGCCAATTACTATTCAGTGAAAACTATGTCCATTAATGTGTAGAGAGGCATTCCTTATACCTCTCACATAGATGGCACTAAGCCTGAACTTGATTCTCTGGGATAGACAGTATTTGAAATAATCTTAATTTGATAATACTTAGGATATTCCAAAAATAATATCTGTGCAAATGTTATCTGCTTCACTAATATGGATCATATTTTGAATAATTTACAAAATATTCAACAAGATGTTGAATCCAAACTAACCTCTAATCACCACCAACACTAGCTTCCAAAAATGTAAAAAAGACAAAGAAGCAGAATCATGAGCCAAATTTTACATATAACAATGTCCTTAATGAAGGATATATCTACAATAATTTAGAATTAAATCATTCAAAAGTTTGTTTTCCATTAGTCTGCTTATGGAAACAAATTATAAGAGCAACAAAAGGTATTTTCTCCACAGAAGGAAAATCAGTATTTTCCCCAGTTAGTGTACAGATAGTCCTCGACTTATGACCACAATAGGGACCAGAAAATTCATTGCTCAGCAGTGTGGTCATTAAGTGGGGCATCATATGACCACACCCAATTTATATTTTTTGTGGCAATCATTAAGCAAATCACCATGGTCATTAAGTGAATCATGTGGTCATTAAGCGAATCACACAGTCATTAAGTGAATCATGTGGTTTCCCCTTTGACTTTGCTTGTCAGAAGCTGGCTGGGAAGATCGCAAATGGCGATCGCGTGATCCCGGGACACTGCAAACATCATAAGAGTCGTTCAACAAGATAGGTGGTGACAAATTTGATAAATACATGCTGGTTGCCAAATGTCCAAATTTTGCTCATGTGACTGTGGGGATGCTGTGATGGTCATAAGTATGAGGACCAGTTGAAAAGTTACTTTTTTCAGTGCTGTCATAAGTTCGAATGGTCACTAAACGAATGGCCGTAAGTCAAGGACTACCTATAGTTAATAAATAACTACAGCAAAGTTAGCAACATTCAGGGCAAATAAATAAAATCCTACTAAAGCATCAGAATCAGCAGTGATCCCACAGAATTCCTATCTGTATCATGAAAGAGAGCTACATGTCATACAATTTTGCAACTATTTGCTACTTTCTTAGTATTCCCCCCTCAAAAAAAAGTTAAATGATGCAGGAACATTATGCATCAGAGTAAAAATAAGAACTATACAAATAAGTTAGAAGCAAAAAAGAAAATCTTAATACTTTTAAGCAATTCAAGAATCAGACAAACACTCTAATCATCAACCTAGCTGTGAAATATATTTCAGACAACTACAGTAGCTATTTTCCTCAGTTATCGCTCTTGGATAAGGACAGGACTAAAACTTTAGCCACACCATAGACTCAGTTTTCTCTGCTTGTATTGCAATCAATACATATTGGTGCATGTTGACAAATAATTAAGTATTTGTATTCATTCTGTGTTGATATAGTATTATTCATGTTTATTATTCATGCTTTACCGAGTATGGTTATAAACTAATTTTTGACACAGGGTTAATAGTAAGGAAAGTAAAGGGAATTAGAGACACAATAAAGAGAAAAGGAGTGTCTGGTTATTCAATAAAATGGCTGTGAAACAGTAAAATGCATCATCCTGGTTTAAAATCCTCCTCCCTTTATCATATTTTGATAGTTTTAATCATATCCCTTCTATTTATGTATTCATTTTTAAAAAACCTATTTAAAAAGCTTTCTGCTTTCCTATTCTCTAATTTGTGGAATACAGGTAGTCCTCATTTAGCAACCGTTCAGTTACAACAATGATGAAAAAGTAACTTTATGACCAATCCTCACATTTACGGCCTTCGCAGATCTGCAAAGCAAAGGAAACTGAAGTAAGATCAGAAGCACAGTCACAGTTTCACTTAGCGACCACTTTGCTTAATACTGAATTGCTGGTCCCAAAGTGAGGACTACCTGTACTTCACAGATTAACCGTTAACCAACTGAAAACAGACAAGAAATAAATACAAGACAGGTTTAAAATAAGATTCCAAATTTAAACATTTTAACAAACCTTAAAAAGATCTCGTAGGTTAAATGTGTAATGGCGCTTAGCAGGTGTTGGAAGCATTTTATGAAGCATTCTATAGTACAGTGCAATAGAGCAACATGTTAAATTATCCGTACACTTCTGAACTTCAACCAAGAATCTGTTGATGTAAAAGTATGTGCCCAGACGTACCTACACAAAATAAATATTTTACACATTTAAAATATGTATTTTAAAGATTTTTCACATAATATAATTTAATAAAGGTATGTTAAATTATGTATATTATTTTTTTAAACAATTGTATTAACGTAATTATATTAAACCACACTATTTTACATCTTTGCAGATTGAATTGCAAGCATTTTTATATACCAATAAAAACAGGCTCTGTGGAAATAAGCACTTTTTAACAGACTGTCTAAATGTACATTTAAAAAAGCACTCGAGAACATTCAAGCAATCATAACTACCAGTCTATACGCAGAATCAGTTTCTCTATAGGATTATATAGGGCTTCCCAGGGGACTAGCAGTTTAGCATGGCTGATCTCCTTTTCAGTGGGGAACAGTATTATGATAGCATGCTCAGTGCATTTTTTTTCCTGGAAATTTCCTCAGGGCCAAGGTATTATTAAAAACAAAATTAATATATACTTTGGCCCTGAAGAAATTTCCAGGAAAAAAAAAGATAGGTTAGTAACAGCCATAGGGAAACTGGACTTTAAGGAAGGAAGGTTAACCATTTCTTTCCTTATCAAACCCTAATTAATATTGTCTTCTTGAAGCTGTTATTAATTTGAACGGAAGTCTCCATTGGCACCAAATATTTAGTTTTATTAAGGTTCAACATTATTTCCGAAGTAGAATATAATATTGTAAATATAATAAAAGCAAGCATGACCTCAGGTGGCAGCACCAGTTTACAGTTTAATTACATAATAAACTGTTTGTGTAGATTTCTATTTTTTCCACAAGTCACTGGATTTTGTCCTTTATTCTTTATATAAAAATTCAGTGAACTATGTCTTTTCCATGAATTCTTTGAATGCTGATTAGCTGAATCATCCTTCTCTCTCTCTGTCATATAATGGACAAGAGTAAAAGCTCTTCTATGGGATGAGCAGAGAATGTTTGCTAAATGCATAGAATGGGAGTATACAGCCTCCACGCGTACACACATACACACCCAGAGACAAAAGCCAGTTCCATAGAGGAACAAGCTTTTGCTAAGGACATGCTGGATATTAGTGTTTGTCTCAGCTCAGACCAGCCTCTTTCAGGGCCAAGCAAAGTTAAATAATGGCTGATAACCATTAACCAAGGAGGAAGCCTGTCTTCCGGAGAGGACATAAAAGTGTCCCACAAAGTCAGTGAACTCAAAGTATTGCAAAAAAGGTAATGTAATGCAATTTCAAGCAGCAAATATTCTAGTCTTGTCTGTTACGTTTTGGCACCTTTGTTGTTAGAAGGACAATTCAACAATATTCCAGAACAAGAGAAACTTTGCTCTTGCTAGCTGCTAGAAGTAGAAACAGTCCCTCATGCACTTTTGCACTGTCTCTTTCTCTTCTAAATTTTGTGGTGAGCTGACTTAATAATGTCTTTTCTAACCCACTCTCCCACCTGCTCAAAGGAGGATAATTCTCCTCCTCTCAGCTGACAGTAACTGCATATCTTCAAAAAGGTTGCTAAATTGATTGCAAGTATCATCACTATCAGGTATTCTGGCATTCAGCAATTTTGCTAGCTTCAATAAGTTTTTATGTAAAAGTATCTCTATAATTTTCAGTTACATATAATTAGTTTTGTTTTCTGGTAGGTTTGTTTTGCTCTTTGTAAAATTAAATAAATAAAGGACTGTTACCTGGAAAATACGTTGCAAAGACTGTAAGGAAGTTGCAGGCAAAACTAAGATGCAAAAATTGGACAGAAGACGAGCACTAATTTCATTACTTCCTACACTTAGAGGTGTACAGCATGCAACCAAAGCAACATCCTGAACTTGCTGTTAGAAAAATACATAAGAGAGCAATTTAAAAAGACTTATATATCAGATTATTTAAAGTACTGTTTTACTGGCTCAGTATGCTGATGACATTCAGTTTTACATAGTACTGCTGATGCTTCTAAGTGTTGTCCCAATGCCTGGAGGCTGTGAGGATCTGGATGGGAGAGAACAGACTAAAACTGAGGTTCTTTGTCTGCTCCAGTGGTGTCTCTTGATGGGGAGCTATTAGCCCTTAACTAGTAACAGGTCTATAGTGACTCATAGGGCTACTAGCCCTTAACTAGTAACAGGTCTATAGTGACTCATGCCTTCATCATCACCCACTTGGGCTACTGCAACACACTTTACATGGGGCTACCTTCGTAAGTCCACTCAGAAGCTCTAGTGCAGTGTCCCATGTGTTAACTGGCACATCTATGCTGAAGGTTCTGCACTGGTTATTAATATATTCCCAAGTGCAATTTAAAGTGCTGATCTTGACAAAAAGCTCTTTATGGCTTGGCACCAAGTTACCTTTGGAAATGCATTGTCTCAGTAGAATTGGCCCAACCAATTTGATCTTCCCAGGGAAAGCAGCTTGTAATTTGCCACTTTTGGGAGGTGAAGGGGGCCAAGGTTGGAGATGCTGCTTCTCACTAGCATCACTGACCCTCTAGAATGGTGTCCCAGTAGAAATTAGGTTAACTGTCTCCTTAACTGACTTCTGGAAGCAGATGAAAACAGAGCTCTTCTGGAGGATATTTGTGGTTGTGTGGTGGGAGAAGGGTGACACCAAGATTGATGTTTATTTTATATGTTTCTTGTTTTGAATCAGCTGTGGATGTTTTTATTATTTTTATTATTTATTGTACTTCCTGAAAATTACCAAGAACCCTTCAGGAATGCAGCAAGATATAAATAAATAAATAAATTACAAAACTGAACATGTTTTTTTTTCAAGTTTTCTAAGACTCATATGGAAGTTTTAAGATGTTTTAAAAAGAGTTGCATCTTTTGCTATCCAGCCTAATGATCAATAAACAGATCCCTGCTGCAAGTCCATCTTGCTGATTTTAAAAGAATTGGCCCTTACTTGAGGGGGGTGCAGACAGCGGAAATAAGAACACTTTAGACATTTATGGAAATCTGCCATGAGCAAATTTATTAGAAATTTTTCTTCCCTGACTTTTACTCTGAAAACTGGTTAAGAATATCTTAACCACAATACAAACTATAATTCTTTTATTATAATCATTCTGATTGTAATCTGTATTATTATTTTGGAAGGGAATGAGGGAGGAGCTTCTTGCAAACTAGGAATACAGAAAGATTATGGGGGGAAAAAGTTTGAACTTACAAAAAACCTTCTTTAAAAATGATAAAAAATTCATTTCTCTCCTAAACCTATGTGAATAAGAATCTAGAGTACCCAATATGAGAATGTGTTATAACTGATCCAGAACACTATATTTACAAGACAAATTCTTAATGTAAAGGTCTCAGTTCAACAAAAATCAGAAACAAAGGAAACGTAACTCATATTAAGCAATACCTTCCATTCAAGCTGTTTAATGTCATAAAATCCTCTCAGCTCCACAAACTGACGGATGAGCTCTAATGGTGGCTTAGATCCATACTCTTCTGCAATTGGCATGTTCAGATCATCAATAAACAATACTGCCTTGAAATAAGTAGAATAAAAATCACACATGATTATCACATCTTAAGTATATTAACAAAAAACATTTGACACTTAATTTCTATCCATGGCAATTTCATTTTTACATATAATAGCTATGATCCATTGTGCTGAATATGCATATATTCTTGTACTTAGCCATTGAAAAGATGGCATGGAAAAGCCCCCTAAATACCCAGAGAATGAGTAATTGGCTCAAACAAAGAGTTTCTTAATAAATTATCTGAATTAGGATTGTTTGCATTTGATGGGACTACAGGTAGTCCCCCAGTTTAAGAATGAGTTCTGTTCCCTTCTGTCCTTAAGTCAAATTTGTATGTTAGCTGGAACAGTATTATTGTATAATACTGTATAAGTAGTATTGTGTAATTAACTCAAACCATTGTGTATTTACCTCGAATCATTGTGTATTTAATTTGAATTTTGCTACAATAGGCTCCATTTTTAACTACGGTTCATCTGTAAACTGGGCATTCTTAACCAGGGGACTATTTGTATTCTCTGTAATGATGAAAGTTTGTACAGGTAGTTCTTGCTTAATGACCATTTGGGTGTACCAAAGGAGACTTTCTGATGCTGTCAGTAAAGGGGGATGGCTGAAACCGCTGGTACTTTTTTGTGGCTTTCAGTGGCTTTATACATAATCCTTGTTGACTGACTACCTCATTTAGCAACCATTCACAGATATGACGGTGATGAAAAAGTCACTTTATGGCCAATCCTTGCATTTACAACCTTCACAGGTCTGTAAAGCAAAGGAAACTGAAGCAAGGTCATAAGCATAGTCGTGGTTTCACTTAGCAGCTCTTTCACTTAATGATTGAGTTGCTGATCCCAACTGTGGTTTCTAAACAAGGACTACCTGTATAGGGCCTTAAAAATGACAATGGGAGCAGTTCTCCTCCCAGAGGTCTCCCACTACAATTCTTACCAACATAGCCCCAAAAAAACAATTTTAAAAGGTGTCCAAATTGCATTGCTAAAATGTGGCCATTTTGCTACCAAATTCCAGTGGCACAATTTCAGCTGTTTGTGCTGTGATGGGAGATAAGGATGAGAATAGTTCACCTCCAAAAGACCTCAAACTCCCATTTCTTCAATTATTTTTGAAAAAAAAAGAGGGAATTGCACTACTCAAAAATGGCTATTTTATTGCTGAGCTTCAGCAGCATGATCTTAAAGTACCTTGAGAGTTGTTTTGCTGTGGGTTTTTGTCTGCTTTAAAAAAAGAAAAAAATATTTTTTTCATGTACCTTAGCTTCCAGCACATACAGAATATTGAAACTGAAAATTGGGGCAGGTAGAATTAGCTTGTTTTTTTTTCCTCTAAAGTTTTAGTGGCTCCTATGCTTAGCCATCAAACTGAGGGAATGAGAATGCTCATCATTAAAAGACTCCTCTTCTTCCTGTGCTCTATTCATGGAACGTTTAATACAAAGGAAAAGAAAAAGTCACTTTTACTCCAGATCTACTGAATAGTCACCAACGTCACTGGGGGTTAGATCCCAAACAGTGCACTTTAGATCAGCACCCTTTTGAGCAGTGAGCACTTAAAAATAGAATTAAATGAGTCAAGTTTTGTAAGATCATTAGATTTTGCAAGATGTCAGCTGAAATTTTCTGAGATTTGGCAATTTTTTGAAATGTTAAATTTTCCTGTAGAGGCTATAAGTATCTAATTTTACATTAGACTAAGCATTGATCAAGTCAGTTCTTTTTGAAATGCAGACCAAATGAACTGCTTGTCATATATATTTCAGGTAGATTCATTGATAAGCCTTCATTAGTTTCTTACTTGTTTAGATTGTGGAGCACCCATGGTATCTTTACTTTTCAGTATTAATTTCTGGATGATCAAAGCCTTTGTTTGGGCTGCAGTTGTATGAGCACCTAGTTGTAATTTACAAATGATAGGACTTTTTGTACTTTCTGAAGATGGTTCTTCTAGATCACCGTCTTCTCTTATTAGGCTGAGAGCTGAAACTTTAACAAATTGAATCGTCAGAATTTTACATAATTTTTAATCTTTATTAGGGGTATGCAAAATATTTTCTGTTCAAGATATTTCAAGCTAGAAACACCTCTGGTATGTTCAGATGTGACACAAATATTTCAATCTTGGAATGAACCATTTTGACCATGAAAGATTTTAAATTAAAATATTTTGCATATCTCTAATTATTTTACTATATTTATACATTTTAAAAAAATAACAAGGTAAGATCAGCTATAAAATAATTTATACCTGTTACTAAATAACAGCCACAGTAAGATCAGCATCAGGTAGAAAACAAGCATTCCCAGCCAGCAAACTTCACCTGCATTATTATTGTATTTAAGGCAATTTAAGTATTACTGGTATGATTCTCCTGGTTAAAAGTGCAGTGACTTTTGCTGATATAACTATATAGAATTCCTTGTTAGAATATCTCTTATTTATCTCTTGGGTATTATTTTTTCTAAAACCACAGAAGAAAAGCTAAGGAGTTCTTCAGGTTGAGCTCAACTCTTTGTAATGTTAAGAATGATTTAGACAGAAACATATGTATTCAGAACATGCATAGGAAACATATTGTTTCATATGATTATCAAATATCTACAATCTGAAGTGGTAGAAAGGATGGAAAGTGGCCAGGCACTTCTGAACAAAGCTATAAAAATAAGTCCCTCTGAACAAAGCAACAGAATATAATCAGTTTAAAATATAATAGATAAATTTTCTCCAGGCCAGCCATAAATCTAGCTCAAGAAAACATTGAGAATCATACCTGGAAAACAGTCATTTTTGGTTCAGGCAGCTGTCTGGCATTACCTATTCTAAGGCAATACATCAACACTTTAAATGACTTGTAAGAAGTTGGTTTTCCCTACTGTATTACTATTATATTATTTTGTTATTATTCTTATAGTATTTATACCACTTAAAGCCTTATGGAGTGAAGCAGTTTATAAATCTTATAAATTAACTGGTACATTAGGCTGAAAGTGAAAGTTACTGATAAGTTCTCTACATGTACTGAAGAAACCCAGATAGATGTTGAGAAATGAAATAAAGTCAAAGGAATAAAATTCTTAACTATTTTATGGAACCATGGTTGACTTTTAATTTTTTTTTTAATTTGGCCACTCTTAATGAAAAAAGAACCCACTGAAGAGATTAAGATTATTTCAGTATTTAATGTTAGGCATTATTTGGACTTTAAAGAGCTTATTTCTATTTAAAAAGAAAATACCATAATTTAAAACAGAAAATCTAATCCTAAAACTTTTTCTTCACTTTTTAAAATCAATGACATACATAGTTCTTTGGTTGAAGAATGTGTCATTTTCCGAGAGCCACGAAATAGATCTGATTTCAACATACTGTAGTTCTTCATCAAGCTAGACAGTAAAACACATAGAATGAAAAAAAAGTATCATCAAACAAAACTTTGGCTGTTGTTATTTCTTTCTAGTATTTTCCAGTACTTTAAATAAATCTAAACCTATTATTATTTTACTACTGATCATTTATTTATATTGATAATTTTAAAGAAAATGCACTGTGTCACATCAGACAGGCATAGCCAACTATGAATTAGCTTTAAACAAGCTAACAGTGATTCCTCCCCCTCAGTGGAAAAGTCAAAAGTCAGAAAAGAAGAAGGAAAAAAACTGGAGACTCAGCCAAGGGTGATGTAGATATGAAGGATTCAAAACCCGTCCAGCCCTCTACCATGTCCCCAACCTGGATCGTATTAAAAAATGACACTGGGAAGAAAAGAGATGTTCTCACTTCTGCTCTGTCATTAAGGCACTGGTTATGCTGGAATCTCTAGGATCAATATACTTGAGAAAAAGTTTAGAATTGCCCTCTAAATTTCTAAGCAGTTACCTTGCTGTTTTATTTTGGTTGTAATGAAAGACCTCTCCTAATATAGTTTTCTTCCTTATATTTAATCCATCTTTTTGAAATCTTCCAAGCATATTATCTATCATAGCAGTCTTCCCACTGCCAGGGTCCCCTAAAAATTATAGAAGAGACTATCAGGCCTCGATAGTAATAATGAAGGAGGTAAAGAAATTAATCTATAAAATTTCTAATTTCAGTAAATAGAAAACATTTAGCTCCTGGTGAATTATCTGTAACTAAGAAAATAAATTTTAAACAAAAGAAACACAAAAATTATTTTAATTGGAAACTATTCTAACAAGAATTAGTAAGGGGAAATTAATACTGTACATACTATAGTTTCATTATATATTTTCAAGTGAACAAAAGATCAAAATATATGCACTAAAAGAATAGTTCAGAAGCAACATGAAGTGTTCAAGATTTCTAGATATTAATATTTGAAAAACAAAGTTGATTCATCTAAGCACTAATTTAATTTCTTGATTGCCAGTTAAAAACTTTTTCTCTATCCTTATTGTGTTCACCGATAACTGCCCAGTGGCCCTGTTAAAAGTGATTTGGGGAGTGGGGGGGCTGGGCCACAGGACGATATGCAGGGCTACAGCAAGGAATATTCATGCTATTTGGTGGATAAAGGTGCTTGGATTTGTTTGAAGCTGGACTCTGACTAGGCAGGTCCAAATAAGTTGCTTGGGGCACAGTCTTGTGAGATTATCTGGGGTGAGTTCAATTTCTCAAGGAAATGGACAAGATCCTCCAATCTGTCAACTCAGCTGTCTGTTTGTTGGATTCTAGCCCTTCCTGGGTTGTCAAGGTGGCCTCGGAGGTGACCAAGGGATGGGTCCATATAATGGTATCATCCTCTTTGAGGAGTGGTCCCTCTGGTTTTGAAGGAGGCAGTGGTACTCCCCCTTCTCAAGTGGCCATGGCTGGGCCTCTCAATTCTGGACAATTACTATCCAGGAAGTAATTCAGTTTCCAGTCTTCCCTTTGGAGGGAAGGTTGTGGAAAAAGTAGTCGGATGGCAGCTGCAGAGGATCTTGGAGGAAATGGATTATCTGGACCTGTTTCAGTCAGATTTCAGACAGGGGTATAGTAAGGAAACAGTGCTGATCATGCTTGAAAATGACCTTTGGCGGGGCCAGGATGGGAGTGGCGCATCCATCCTTGTACTCCTCAATCTTAGTGCCTTTTGATACCATCAACCACAATATCCTTCTGGACTGGCTAAACTAAAAAAGGAGGGGGGGAAGACAATTGGGTTTCTAACTTCCCCCTTTTTGTGCATCTGCTAATTTATAATGTTTATAAATATTTGGGCCAGACTGTAAATGATTACTGTATATTTTCCATGCTGCGTGATGTGTTGTACATATGGGAACCATTCTTGCTTAAATTTGGTTAAACTTCTATTGTGAATATATGCTGTTAATTTTGCCATTGCTACATATTCTCCAACTTTAAGTTCCCAATCAGTTGTCAGAATTATTTCTTTTTTCCAGTATTGGGCAAAATTTATTCTCACTGATGTCAGCATGTATCTCATTAAAATGTGATTTTTTTTCTTGATTTTTTTCTGTAATTACACCTATTAAGAAAAGTTGTGGTTTCATTTCAAATTTAAATTCCAAAATTTTCTGCATTGTATATGTATCTTTCCGATACTTTTGGAGGTTTTTTTTAACATGTGGAGGTTTTTACCACTACATGTGGTAAAACATTTATTACTGTATGATTTGTTTATCTTAGATACTATTGATGGAGTTGCATGCCATCTGTAGAACATATTGTACCAATTTTCTTTTAAGTTGCCTACTTGGCCTAGTTGCTTGAGGGATTGTCTGTCTCCCTTAGCATCTGCCCAGCCAATTTGATCCTGCAGGGTTGGCACACTCCAGGTTGCTTCGATTAAATAATGTCACCTATCAGGACCCCTGAAATGTGCATTCTGTGTAGCAGCATCTGCCCTCTGGAATGAGATTCCCCCCAAAATCTGGAAGGCTCCCACTCTGCTGTTGTTTAGAAGAGCTGTGAAGACCTGGCTGTTCACTCAGGCCTTTGGCAAGGGAGAGCGAGATCCCTCACTTCAGTGTACTTGCCATCTTTTATCTTTATCTTTTATTGATTTTATTGTATTTTTTTACATTGTTGTGAGCTGTCCAGAGTCATTGAGAGTCAGGTGGCATACAAGTTTAATAA